ACAGATTCACCTGAAAGCTTCTAGGTTATCAAGCCATTTTTGGCAATAACCCTGATATTTACTATTTGCTATTTATTATATGAGTGATTCAACATGTGTGAAATATTTTCCCCGTCAAGACACGCCATTTAAACGTCTGCGATGTCGATATTCACGTGGGATTAACTAACCCCCTTACAGTGCAGGCTTCACACATCTCAAAATGAGCAGTGTTACAGTACAAATGCGGTCTTATTGATCCAATAATAAAACAATAAGACGAAGAGCGCCCCTCAGAAAAGAAAAGACGATGTACTGCAGGACAGTGACAGAGATTAAGCTCCGAAATAGGTACACAATTTCCTCTTGCACACTGCCCTCTGCCGGACGGCCTGCGTCCTCGGCTCACCTGGTTAACAACAAGGCTATACCGGGTAAGCGCGTATCGTCACTGATACTCACCGATTTACTCCCCAAGTCAGCCTTTTTTGACTGTAAAACAACAATTTCGAGTTTTTTTTTCTTTAAAAAGAAAACTTCGACGTGTTGGGCATGATATCAGTTTGGTTCTATTTGCATATTCGGCGCTACTTTGGGATTTTCTGATAGCGCGCTTCTTTCTGGGGGGGGAATTAAATCCTTAATTCACCGAGGGAATTGTGTGAGACCCTTGTGTCTGCTGGTCTTTAGCTCCAGGTGATGAGTGCTTCTCCGTGGTGGTTTGGAAGTTTTTTCAGCAATTACCCGGTCAAAGTGCATTCGTTTCCACACCTCCCCGCATCAAGAAATACACATTTTCTCCTCTACTTACTCATTTCCTCTCTTGTTGAGGACTAAAACGCTCTCAACCTGCCGTCATCGGATAACGAACGATGCTCTCGGCGCTCTTCGTGCACACCTGCCGGACACCTATACTAAACAATTAGGGCTGAAGGCCAGAATAATCAATGACCGATATGCCCACCCCTCGCACTATGAGTCTGAACTTCTCCCAAGCTCATTATTTTCCTCCTGTATGCATCTTACGTATCTGTTTCACTCACCAGACGATTCAGCTTTTTTATTCATCTATTTAAAGCTTGTGATGTTTTTAATCTGCCGTTTTTTATCTCTGTTATTGGCCTCAGGTTGTGATCAGTATATGATGCATCTCATTGTATCTGCCTGCAAAGCCAGTTCCACATCTGGCCTCCATTAAAGGAGAGTGGCACTGTAGCTACAGGGGTTTGGCACTGCTGCCTGGCAGAGCTGGCCCCCTAGGGTAAACATCCTGACTCGGGGGTGCTGTCTGTGTGGAGTTTGCATGTTCTCCTTGGGTTTGCATGGGTTTCCTCCCACAGGCCAAAGACATGCGGGGAGGTGAATTGGCTTCTGGGACAACCGACCCAGGTGTGTGAGTGTGTCTCTGTCTGTGTGTGTCCTGTGATGGACTGGCGTCCTCTTTACAGTGTAGCCCGCCTTATTGCATTCCTGGATAGGATCTGGCTCCTCCACAACCCTGAATTGGATTGTTGTTGTCGAGTGAGTGTCGACTCATCTCTTGTCACTATCCATAGAGTTTTTCGGGGAAGGATATCTTTCGCACAGATGGTGCTAGTGTTGTTGTTGTTGTTGTTGTTGTCACGGAAATGTGGCCCTCTGCCACCAACACCGCCCCCTACTGCTGCTGCCCAGTATGGGTTATTAGAGAACCTGGCGCCTGACGTGGGACACGAACCCACTACCCCGAGATTATGAGTCTTATGCTCTACCAACAGAGCTTGTCGGGGACCCTGAATTAAATAAAGCAGTCTAAATTTATGCCAGCAGCCCTGTCACCCTGCAGCTCACCACTGGAAGCCCCACTGGAGACTCAGCAGGTGGGAGACTGATCAGTACCTGGAGGGGAGACTCCTGGGAAAGCTGAGGCTGCTGCTGGAAGAGG